CCAAGTCCTCCTAGTGACTACAAGGTTCTGAAGGGACACAGAGGAATCTGAGGGATCCTGAAGCCAGGAAAGCCAACTCACTCAAGGACCCAGCTGCTCACACAGAGGGGCAAACACACTCCTTGGCTCTTCCTCCATTTTGTAGTCAGGGAGAATGGGATCTGATCCTAGAACATACCTCTGTGCTAAGGTACCTGATCTCAGCAAGTTTTGCTCACCTGGACAACCAGGTACTATCTACCTCCTTGAGAATAAAGTGTGGCACAGGGCCAGCTGTTCAGAGGGAGCATTGACTTCTATATCATCACCACTGTTACCATAATTGTTAGTTTTGCTATTGGGTTTACTCCAAATCACACAGAGGGGACCTGGATCTGGGTCTGGACCTATACCTGTGCCTGAAGGGCATGGCTCATTGATGTGTCTTAGGGGTCCTCAACCCCCTGATTCGGTCTCCCTATCTTCCTTCCTCACAGATTCTTCCTAGTTTTCTCATCCACCTTCTGGTTTAGCTTTCTCATGAGCCCTCCGTCCAGGCAGCATCCCCAGTAAGGGGTCAGAACCCACCTCCTGCTTAAGGGTTGATGTTCAAGGGGCATGGAAGCCCCCCCACTTCATCCTGCTTTAAAACCCACTTTTGGGTCACCTGGGTGGCTCAGTCAGTTAAGCGTTCAACTCAGATCATGATCTCAAGGTCCTGAGATCGAGCCCCACAACAAGCTCCATGCTCAGAGAAGAGTCTGCTTGAGAATTCCTCTCTCTCTCTCTTCCTCTACCCCTCCCCCCATTTGCACGTGCTCTTTCTCACTAAAATCGATCAATCTTTTAAAAAAAAAGCTACTTCTGGGAATGGTTCACTGTGAGTCCTAGCATCAAAATTCTAACTGATTGCTCTCCTTCTCTTTTCCTGAAATACTGTACTTGAAGCCTTATATCTCTTGTTAACTTTGCTAGTGACAACACTTTTGGGAACACAAGAACCTCTGGAATCACTTGGCCTAAGTAGCTGGTCTCTCCAGCCTAAGAGCAACCACACTTTGAGCCCTCTGCCCATCCTGCCTGAGACTTCCCTTTCCTCAACCCTTCTCACTCTGATGCTCAGATCTACACACTCGGATGCTTAAGACCTTTGCAGAACATCTCAAGACCAGCATCCCTCTCACATATTCACTCATCCAGTTAAAAATGAACATTGATGAGATTTACAATGATTAGTGGTTTTAGCTTTAGTTCAGTTCATATTTCAGATCAAGTATTTGGAGATATATTTCAGATCATAATTCAACCAAGAGGTGCTATATCCAGCCCACAAGGAACAGAGCCCCACATCCTCCTTCTGTCTTCCCAGCTGAGGCACTTAATAGATGGAAAGGATTGAAGTCTGGTGGAAATTGTCCCGTGATTTCCCCCTTCCATGGTGCAGAGTTGTTGCTGGGAATATTTGACTCCCCCAACCCAGAGTCATTGTTTTGTATCCAGGTGGTTACTAACTGCTCAGCTCAATGGAATGTAAGCAGAAGAGCTGCCTGTCACTTACTAGAGGGGACAGTGGAGATGCAGGTAGATGCCTGGGGCTGTAGTAGGATGTACTACAAGGGATACTAGGGGAGCTCAGGGGGTGGGAGGAACACTTGTATCTTTACTGGAGGAGTGGGCATGTTTATCAAAATTCATCAGTCTGCATGCATGCATGCATTTTATTATATGTAAATCATACCTGAATAAAGCTGATTCTAAATAAAATAAAATAACCTGGGCAAAAAAAGCTTTACAAACTGTAAAGACAAGGCAGTGGTTTGTGATTAGTCCAGTTGTACAGTGAGGGTATAGAATTCTGTGGAGCTTCTCAGACATAAGTGCTTATCCTGGAGCCTAGACCAGGACTAAGGAAGAGTTGGCAGCCAAGAGCCTTATCTCAGTGGGAAGTCCAAGACCTGGTACCATAGTACAAGAGTCTGGAATTAAGCATGGGCCACTAGGGGAACTAAGGTAGACATTAAGCACAAGTGGTGCTTAGTCCTCTTCCCTACTCTGGGTGAGGAGCCAGGAGCCATCAGTGTAAATAGAAGTGCATTTCTAGGGTATGAATTACTCTTGATTATAGCAGGATAACAGAGCATCTGCCTGGGCAGGACTCCACTACTTCTCTGTTTAAACTTCCTCCTTGTCCTATCATTCAGCTCTCTTTCCACCTGCACCCTGCAGTCTGGGAGAGCTTCCCAGAATGGACACCTAACCCCACTCCTACTCATATGCTCATGCTGCAGCTCTGTTCATCTCTCAGTCTAAAGCCAGAGTCCTTGCATCATGCAGTGACCTCCTGGAATCTGGCCCTGCTCACCCTCCAACTGCCATCCCAATTCTCAGTATCCTGGTTTCCATTCTTATGTGACTCTTTGCAGTTGACCAAAATTACCACTGCTTCCTCACATCAGTGTGGAGCTTGGGGGATTCCAGGAGGTTCTAGGAATAGATCAGCTCCAGTGGTGCTCCTGGCTGGCTGGAGTAGACAGCCATGTGGGGGTGCAGATGAGCCTTGATATGGTCTATAGGGTCATGATGGCACCAGCCATGAAGTGTGTAGGGAGGGGTGAGATGAGAGGGGGAATCCTGGGACATGAAAGCAGTGAGATCAGCATGGTTTGAGGGGAGTGGGCCAGGTATGTGCCTTCCACATCACCATTTCTGATTGTTCCCCTCTCCCTAAAGCATGTAGGGACCCACTTTCAAACTGGAGTAATTTACTAATGGCTGGTATTTACTCATTGCCAAGAACTATGTTGGCAGCTCTCACAGACCCATGTGACAGGCATTAACACTACCCCTGCAGTGCAAGTGGGAAACTGAGCCACAGTAAGGTGACATATGTTGCCCAATGTTCCAGGGCTGAAATTTGAAGCCATACTCCCTGGCTCTAGACCATTGAATCATATTGCCTCTGAGGCAAAGTCTGTGGATAAACTACTTCCTCCTAGGCCATGTAATTCAGTTCAACCAATGATATGAGCATAGGTGATGGATGCCTCTGCCAGGGCTGGCCCTAGAGCAGGCTGTGTAGCCCTCTAGGCTCTCTCTGTCTCTCCACTTGTCAGCCAGCTGGATGCAGAATACTTAATTGAGAACCCAAGGAGTTCCATGGCATGGGGGAACCATGGGATAAAAGGAGCCTGGTTTCTTTCTCACTCTCAAAGGATAGTTTCTAAGGACAGTCACCCAGTCAGGAACATCTGTACAGGTTTAAGTAACTGAGAAATGAACTATAATCGTATTAAATTCCTTTGCTTGTATTAAAAAGATTTTTTGACTAAGACCTATTTGTTATAGCAGCACAGGTTAGTCTATTATTAATGACAAAGGGAAAAAATAATAACTTTACAATAGAGAAACCTGGCAGATACCACTTCAACCAAGCAAGCAAGGTTAACACCAGCAGCGATACAACACATCAACATCATATACCTCCTGATAAGACCCACTGATAAAGACACAATATTTCTGTGGGATTCTTGCCAAAAATGCATAACTTCAATCTTATGATGACAAAACTTCAGGCAAGCTCAAATTGAAGGACATTCTGAAAAATAACTGGCCAGTAAAGGAAAAAATCCAGAACTGTCACAGATTGTAGAAGCCTAAGGAAACATAGCAATTAAATGCAAAGAATTGGATCCTGGACCAGAAAAAGGACATTAGTAAAAGTTGGTGAAATGTGAAGATCTATCAGTTAATAATATTGTGTTAAGGCTAATTTCTTGGTTTTAGTAATTGTAGTGTGTTATGTAAGATGCAAACATGAGAAGAAGGTGGATGAGGGGGTTCTAGAATTCTCTGTGCTATTTTTGCAACTTTTTGGTAAGTCTAAAATTAACTTGAAATAAAAAGCTAAAATAAATACATAAACAAGAATAAAATGAGACAAAATCAGAGATGGAGACAAACCATAAGAGACTCTTAACTGCAGGAAACAAACTGAGGGTTGCTGGAGGGGAAGTGGGGAGGGATTGGTTTGGTAACTGGGTAGTGGGCATTAAGGAGGACACGATATATTGAGCACTGGGTGTTATATGCAACTGATGAATCACTAAACTCTACCTCTGAAACTAATAATACACCGCATGTTAACATGGATGTGGTGATGAGGTACCTCCAGGTTGCCTTTCTGATGACTTTGCTCTTGATGCATTGTTAGCAAGTCTGGACAATAAAGACACACACTGGTTTACACCTTTAAATTTTTTTATTACAGAAAATGCCATTCTTCCAAGTCCAGCTCAAGGCCCACTTTATTTGTCAAGCCTGGACTTTTGTACATATTGTATTGAATAGCTTTCTTGCTCCCTCGGTATCTGATATGGAGTCAAAACTCTGCCTTTGATTGTAGATTCTCTGAGAAGGGGGACTGGGGCTCTGTAGCTATGTTCCATTCTGTACAAGGTTATGTGATATCTGGTCAGCCTGAGCACCAACAGCATTATGTCTCTGCCTGGGAGGCTAGGCAGGGGAGTCTGCTAGCCTTCAGCAACCCCTCTGCACCCCTGTTGGGTCTTGTGGACCATGTCACTGTGGGCCTGTGACCAGAGCCAGGACAATCACTGAAGGAGCAGATATAGTGCTAGGGTCAACTCAGGGCATTACAGGCATGGCACCCTCTCAGTGCGTGGGTGGGGACAGTGGCAGGTCAATCCCCAGAAGTGCAGGGCTGTAGGCAGAAAATGTCAACAAGATGAAAGGGTCTGTTTCTCAGAAGCAAGTTGGGCAGGGATTTGGAAGTTCCTGGGAGCCCACACTCTAAGGTGCACAGATTTCAAATGCAAGGAACTGGGAGGTGATGCTGGATAGCAGCTCAAAGGAACCTGTGAGAACAGACTTGGCCAGCCATTGAACAGTGTTTCAGTAATGGAGAAAAACACGGCTGTCACAGGGCTTTGCCTGAGGGCTATGGCTGCTATTTACTGAGCAGTTAACAGGGGAGGGTGAAACAGTTGAGGGCAGGATGGATCTCAGAAGAGCAGCCCCAGCAGGAGGAGGCTGACTAAGGCTGCAGGGGTTACAGAGATTTCGGAGCCTGTGTCCGGGGTGGTGGGTTCATTGGAGGTGGGCGCTGAGGAGGCATTGAAGCTGCTAGCAGGAGGGGTGGTCGCGGGGGCAGTTGAGGAGGAGTTAGCACTGTCTACACACTCAAACTTTAGGAAGATGACTCCTCCAACTGTCCGGTTCTCAGCAGACAGGAACTGACAGGTGGAGTTACTGATGTTGGAACAGCCTCTCAGCACGAGCTTCTTAGTCTCTGTGAATGCAGTGCAGACAATAAAGACTTCATAGCCCTCTCGCCCTTCCTCCACAGGCCTCCAGCAACCTGTTCTAGGTCTGGTCCTAAAACAGGGGCCTGGAGGAAGGAGCCCAGGGTCAAGAACACCAAATGGTAATGGCAGAGGAACCATGAAGGTCAGAGCCCAGACACCCTCCTCCACCTAAAATCAAAAGAAACTGATGCTCCAGAAGGTGGATGCAAGTCTGACCTCACAGGTGAAGGTCAGAAATGGGCCTGGGGCTCAAGTCTCCAATGTTCTCCTGAGGAGCCGGCAGATGATAAAATCTAGGGATGGGCTCAGACACCCTAGGGCCCTGTGCTTTCAATCCAGGAAGGCTCCTCCCAGGCTCCCCTCCTCCAGCTTCTGCTTTCCATCCCCACTCTTCTCTGGACCTGAGTTCTCTCTGCCTGAGTTTTCTCTGAGAAGGGAAAAACAGCTGGAGGTGATCTTAATTCTAAATCTGAATTATATTGTGTTTAACACTGTTTTAAGGTGCAGATCCTAGGAAAAGGCCAAGGGAATTTGCAAACAAAATGCGGTTGTGACTGCAGCTACCTGTATTGAGCTCCTACTATGTGCCAGCAGTGCTCTGTTGGCTACAACTTAAACAGGCCTGGAGAACAGGAGGTTCATGGGGGAGCAAGACACTGGAGGAGGGGACTGGCTACTTATCAGAAGGGCTACAAACTTGTTCTGAGAAGGAAAGAGAAACCTCCAAACCCCTTTGAAGAAAACAATTAATTCCTTTTTTATAGCAAATAGCAGTGCTGGAGATTGAATTACAGTGAGCTAGAAAAATGTGTTGCATGGCACATGTCTACAGTATTGAAAAAAAAAAGTGACCTTGGGCAAAAATAGACAAAGAAACAAACCCTATATGGGATGCCTGGGGGCTCAGTCGGTTAAGCATCTGCCTTCGGCTCAGGTCATGATCTCCGGATCCTGGGATCGAGCCCTGCATGGGACTCCCTGTTCAGTGTGGAGCCTGCTTCTCCTTCTCCTTCTGCCTCTCTCCCTGCTCATGCTCGCTCTCTCTCTGTGTATCTCTGTGTCTCAAATGAATAAATAAAATCTTAAAAAAAAAAAGAAAAAGAAAAACTACCACTTGGTTTATTCGTTTTAAAAATATCTTTAACTCTTGGGGTGCCTGAGTGGCTCAGTCAGTTAAGCAACCGCCTTCAGCTCAGGTCATGATCCCAGGGTCCTGGGATGGAGTTCCACATCTGGCTCCTGGCTCAGCAGGGAGTCTGCTTCTCCCTCTGCCTACCCCCCTATATCCTCAGATATAGCTTAAGAATTAAACTTTAGAGCTGTGTAGACATCCCAGGGAGTTTAAAAGTTAAAAAAAAAATCTTGAAACTCATATTACTAAGTGCAGTAAATCTATGTGAAAAGGCTACAGACTATATGATTCCAAATATATGATATTCTGATAAAAGCAAAATTATGGAGAGAATACAAAGATCAGAGGTTGCCAGGGGTTAGAGATTAATAGAGCACAGAGGATTTTTTAGGATGTGAAGTTATTCTGTGTGATACTATAATGGTAGATTATACTCACTCTACAAGTGTCAAAACCCATAGAATATGCAACATAAACAGTAACCCTAACATAAACCTTTGACACTGGATGATAATGATGCATCAATGTAGGTTCATGGATTCATGTAGGTACCATTTTGGTGGGGAATGTTGACAGTGGGGGAGGTATGTATGTGTTGGGACAGGGTTATGTGGGAAATCTCTCTACCTTCCTCTCAACTCTGCTGTGAACTTAAAACTGTTCTAAAAAATAAATTTTATTTTTTTTAAGTTGAAAAAGTTCAAGATACTTGGAGTGTTTGGCCCCACTGAGAAACCTGCAATTACAGTTAGGCATGGATTTCTAGTACTACAATTGCCATTAATAAAAATTGAAATCAAATTGTACCTGGGTGTTGGTGCTCTTAAACTGTTATTATTCGGAGCCATATTGTGGCAGAGACTGGCTAGCTGTCCATTTTAGCTTCACGTCTCTTCCTTTCCTGCTGGACCTCTACTAAACACCATTAGACTGCATTTCCACCCTCCAGTGAAGTTTTGGTCCCAGCCAAGGGAATGTGAGAGAGAGTGATGCACGTGCTTCCAGGCTTTGCCTGTAAAAACCTTCCTGCCTTCCTCCACTCCCTGTCTTCCCCCACCTGCTGGTGAGAGGCAAAGAATACAGCAGGGAGGGGCCAAGTCTGGGTGGGTGGGGGCCAGAGCTTCAAGATGGAAAGAACACAGGCCCCGGGACCCTGCAAAAAACTGCCAGATGAGCAAGAAATTAACATCTGTTACATTGAGGAAGAGGATTTAGAGGTTGCTCTTTAACAGTAATGAACTTACCCTAACTAATACATACATTATTCTTTAAATAGGCGTAACATCTGCCTATTTAAAGAATAATGTATGTATTAGTTTTGTATTTTATACCAGTTAGTTTGTATTTCATAATGGCTTATATCAAATTATTGGTTGAATATTAAAGCCCAATCTGACTCTTTCAGGCAGGTGACCCAAGTTGTCATAAGCCAGCACCTCTCAGTGACAGGTAGAGAAAAAAATGTAGGGATAAAAGGAAATAAAAGTCAAACCCACACATACCCACAGAACAATGCAACCTAGTAAAGAAGTAAATGCCAGGAATGGCATGATGCACTTAAATGAGCCTGGCTTGATTATAAGACACAGGAGAACAGGGTTCAAGAGATGGACAGTGCAGGAGGAATGGTTCTGGACTAAGGAGGCAGAAATAGCAACCAGACCAAGGCTACATTAACAGCCTCCTTATCTCAAAGGCATTCTGACTTTATCCTTTTATCCTACTAACCTCCCCCAGGCTTCTTTTGTTAACCCAGAACTTACTGCCCAAGGTTTAATATGTTTTCAACTCAAGTCCCCTAATGGAATTGAAACCCCAATACGTACCAGTCTTAAATTCTGCAACTAGATTGACACACCGTTCTTCTTTATAACATTTCCTGAGTTGCACATTACAGGAACTTTCATTAGATCCATAACAGGCAAGACACTCTGTGTTGTTGGACACATCTTCCAGGGGAGGAGCTGGTAGAATAAGAATCATTAATTTAGAAGAGAGCTATAACATAGAACATGGTACTGCCTTGTACTGAAGGGGACAACCAAGCAAAGCTGCTGGCCAGAGAGATATTGGAGAATGAGACAAATGCACGAAGACACCAGCGATCCTAACCTCACATCCCACCAACATAGTTACAGCACACAACCGCACAGACCTCCCCTTACAAACCATCCAGTCTTCAAGAACTGTGGTCAGTGGGTGTGTTGCGCTGAGAAGGGAAAAGTAATATTTTGATCTAAAACCAACCAATGTCCAGTGATGGATATTAAGGAGGGCACATATTGCACTGAACACAGGGTGTTATACGCAAACAATGACTCATGGATCACTACATCAAAAACTATTGAAGTACTGTATAGTGACTAACATAACATAATAAAAAAATAAAAAAATAAAAAATAAAACCAACCAATGTCAACATTAGCCTGCTATTCTGAATATCAGCCAATAGGTGTGTAGCTATTACTAAATCTTTCTCTGAATAAATGAACATATGCCATTATTTAGCATTTAATACAAAATGATATTGAGACCCAGCTCTGCTATTAATGACCAGGACTCTAGAACTAAGGCAAATTAACTTTGTCCTTTTGGCCATGTTTTCTTCTTTTCAAAAAAAGAGAGCTTTGGTATAGACCAACGGTTCTCAATTTGTGGTCCAAGAACTGGGCAATCCCCAAGAACTTTTTCGGGGAGTCCAAAAATTCAAAACCATTTTCATGATAATACTAAGATGTTCCTTGCCTCTTTTACTCTCTTTCTTTCATGAATGTACAATGGAGTTTTTGAGAGGCTACATGGCATGAGAGATTGCAACAGACTAAATGCACAAGCAAATCTGAAAACTCAGTTGTTTTCTATTAAGCCAAAAACTAAAAAGCTTTGAAAAAATATGTAACAAATGCCACTCTTCTCACTAAGTATTTTTTTGTTTTGGAAGATACAGTTATTTCTATATAAAAATGTTATTAATGTTAACATGTAATGGGTTTATTATTTCTTGGTGAACTAAAAATAAAGATTTTAAAATTTTTTAGAAATTCTTTGAATTTTTAAGATTTCTAATACTGATATTAGTATTAGAATATTAGTAAATATTGATAGTATGATTCACATAAATCAAATTTCTCTAGAGTCCTCAATAATTTTGAAGATTTGGAGTCTTAAAAGAGGGCCTGAGACCAACAAAGTTTGAGAAATACTAATAAGCATCTAATTCCATACAACTTGGAGTTTCTATTATTTCTGTCTGTATTGAGAAAAGAGGAAAGCATGAAAGTAGTGATGACTTTCCCATTTGTTTTTCAAGCAATTGTTGTAAGTCAGCTGTTGATGTTACCCAGATATGCAATGAAGTGCTTGGACTTGAGATGTCCACCAGAAAGTGAGGACCACAGATGGCAAAGGAAGGGAGAGAGTTGGGAGGACACAGGAAGGAAGGCACATTGCCAGCACCCACCCAGAGCATCACTGGTGTCGTTACACTCCTTTCCTTGGCAGCAATGGCTTATAAAATGGAAGTGTTCATTATCAGACACATGGACAGTGAAGGCTTCAACCATGTCTCTCCCTTCCCTGCAGTTCTCCGCAGAGCAGGCTTTATCCTGGTATATGTTGGCTGCCCCTACACAAAGAGAAACACAGACTGTCAGCCCTGGGTAGGAGGCTTCAGAAAGGGCAGAGACCCTGAATAGTGACTGCTTCAGGCAACAGCAGAAAACACACCCTCAGGTCAATGTAATGTCAGAGACACTGGACAGGGTTTCCTGGCAAACAGAAAAATTCTTCCCCATGAAGTAGTTCCTTCCTTTAGCTGGAGATGACCAAAGATGCAGGCTAAACTTCAGGTCAAAGACTGATGGAGACTGAGGGTCCTGGAGTGGAGGGGGTAGGAGGGATGGGGAGGCTGGATGATGGACAGTGACATGTGCTATGGTGCTATGGACAGTGCTATGGTGAGCACTGTGAAATGTGTAAGACTGATGAATCACAGACCTGTACCCTGAAACAAATAATACATTATATGTTCATAAAAATAAATATATAAATAAATATATTTATTTAATATAAAATAAAAAATAAATAAATAAGTAAATAAAGTGACAACTGAGTTAAAAAAAAAAAAAAGACTGATGGGGGCTTGGAAATGGTGGTTCAGGCTGACTTTCCAAATCTCCCTCATCAGTCTTAGCATCTCTAAAAACAGCCAAGCAGACATGATGGTCCTACGTGCAATATGGTGTTAAACCTGAATACAGTCAAACTTCTAGACCAGAGCAATTGATAACGGTAGCCAGTAGCTATATGTGGCTATTTAAAATTCAGCTCTTTGGTCATATAACCATATTTCAAGTGGCCAACAGCTCACATATGGCTACTGTATAGGACAGCATGGATATAAACATTTCTATTATTGAAGACAGTTCTGCTGAGCAGCATGGGTCCAATTTACAGGAAAATACCAGGAATATGGGGAACAAAGAAGTGACACCACAAGGAAGCAATCAACCAAAGCCAGAATATGGGACAACTATAGGACAAATGTTCCAGTTTCTCCAACAAATCAATGGTATTGAACAACAACAACAACAACAACAAAACGAACAACAACAAAAAGTGATGGTAATTATTATAAAACAAATTAGATGTAATAGACCTAACAGCAAAATGCTGTGTGGGGATTTTGTTTGTATCCGAATTCTAACACATCAACTATAACACAACATCTGAAACAGTTGGGACATTTCTAAGATGGCCTTCTAATAGAAGAAATTAAAGAATTACAGTTAATATTCTTAGATATATAGTGATATGGTAGTTATGTAAAAAGGAAAAAAAAGTCCTTATCAGAGATAAATAGTGAAGTATTTTTAGGGGAAATTACATGATATCAAAGTTTGCTTTAAAATACCAATGTTGGGGTGCCTGGGTGGCTCAGTTGTTAACCATATGCCTTCAGCTCAGATCATGATCCCAGGGTCCTGGGATCAAGCCCCTCATCGGGCTCCCTGCTCCATGGGAAGCCTGCTTCTTCCTCTCCCACTCCCCCTGCTTGTGTTCCCTCTCTTGCTGTGGCTGTCTCTGTCAAATAAATAAATAAAATCTTAAAAAATAATAAAATAAAATAAAACCACTGCAGGGGCGCCTGGGTGTCTCAGTTGGTTGAGCTTCTGACTGTCTGACTTCAGCTCAGGTAGTGATCTCCAGATCCTGGGATCACCCTGTGTGGAGCTCCTAGCTCAGCAGGGAGTCTGATTGTCCCTCTCCCTCTTCCTCCGCCCCTCCCTCCCACTTGTGCTCACTCTCTCTCTCTCTTTCAAATAAATAAATAAAGTCTATTATAAAATAAAATAAGGGGTGCCTGGGTGGCTCAGTCATTAAGCATCTGCCTTCGGCTCAGGTCATGATCCCGATCCCAGCGTCCTGGGATCGAGCCCCGCATTGGACTTCCTGCTCTGCCGGAAGCCTGCTTCTCCCTTTCCCACTCCCCTTGCTTGTGTTCCCTCTCTTGCTGTGTCTCTCTCTGTCAAATAAATAAATAAAATCTAAAAAAATAAAAAATAAAAAATAAAATAAAATACCATTGCAAAAAAAAAAAAGCAAAATGTTGATAATTTATGACACAGGATAGTGGTTACATGGCAATTCATTATACACGTCTTCCTGCTTTTGTGCATATTTGAAAATGTCCACAATAAAAAGTTAATAAGAAATCTAAGTACTCTGGAAGAGAGATAAAAATCATGCCAGCAAATCACGCTGGGTAAAAGTGTGTTGGATCTGGAAGAGGAAGAAGTACTGAGGGGAGGAAAGGGGGGCAGAAAAATGGAAGAATGCAAGTACCCAGAGCAAATTGCCTGCTTTGCAACTTAACTAAGAGCTGCCCCTGCTTCTCACATCCACCAATATAGGTCTAGAGTGAGGTTTCAGTCAAGGGCAGCAATTCCACAAGGGTTTGTCTGCTTGCCCCTGCATTCTCATCTGACTCCTGCATGTTGCTTCTTCTGGAAGGCGTCTTCATGAACCCATCTCTCTCCTTGCACAACCTAGCCCTTCCTCAGGCTTCCTTTCCTCCCTGGCCACTCTCTCCAGCTCCTGCCCCATGCAATCCCAGAAATGGGGATTATGGCATCCCAGGCTCACCTAAAGAAGTGTTGGTCATGAAACTGGTACAGCTGGCATTGGCATGTGAGGGACACTCAGTGATGTTGCTGTTGTCACAGAAGTCTGTCAATGAATTACACTGCACACAATATAGGGATTCTGGGGAGACATGATGGACAGAACTGTCAACATTCAGGAGACACTTATAAACTATACTCTGGACAAAGCACCACATCCATCTCAGGGCAAAAGAATAGTCTGGATGGCATCCCTTCCTTCTGGGACCCCCAAAATTTTAGACTGTGAGATGGAGCCACCCCCATTACTTTCTCTCCACCGTGCACCATTTCCCAGTGGGAAGACCCATAGCACAGAGCGGCTCCTCTGAGGGCAGTGTGCACAGAGGGGTCTCATATTCTCCACTGACCACACCCTGACATGAGAGGCCATGGGACAGGACCCCAGAACACCAAGAGTGAGAAGACTTTGATGAGGTATAAAAAGAGGTCTTCATTCCCAAAGGGTGTCAGTGGGTTCCCTCACCTACAGCTGCAACTACGAATGCTGTGATGATAGCAGCAACAAGGATACCATTCATGGTGCAGGACCTGGTGTCTCCCAAGGATGAGGACTCTGCTGCAGAACCTTATGCCTGAAGAGACACAAAGAAGACAGGGAGCTTTCAAGGCTGCTAGGGCATAACATCCCCTAGGGTTGCAGTCATACTTCCACACAGCACACAACCCATCCTTGTGGCAGAAGGAATCAGCATTCTCAGCTGGGAGCAGAGAGCTGTGATGCAGCTTCTATGCTGCCCTTATACCTGTGCCAGTCTGGGCTTTCCCCAGTCCTGGCTGCCTGCAGAAGAGTCTACACACAGACACAAAACACAGCTCGGGCATTTCCTATAGCCACTTCAGATACAACATGGACAGGCAGATTATCGCTAGCCCCCCTGGGGATGGGATCCAAGAAGAAAGTTGGGCTCTTGTCTCCCAGAGCACAAGGAAGTCCTCTAGCTAATATCTTGCCACATTCACATAATTCACTTAGGGGCTCTGTTACTGTCATCACCACCCCAATAAGCAGACACCTATTGAGCACTTACTCTACTCTGAGCACTTTATGTTCATTAATTCATCTAATGCCTCCACCCTAGCAATCAGGGACTATTATTAGCATCACCCTCATTTCATAGGGGAAATCAAGTCCCAGAGAGATTAAATAAACCACTCCAAGTCAAGGTCACAATCCTGGGAGGTGTTAGAGTTGGGTTGGCCCAGGCCCCTAACCACCACCCACACTGCCTCCAACAGATGTGACTCCCAGAGCCCCAGGCCTGGACACCCTCGACCTGTAGGAAGGAACCAGAGGCCCAGCACACCTCCAACTGATGTCCACCAATCATCAGATAGCTAAAGGTTACCTGTATTCATTAGGATCCTGAATCAGAGCTCCCAGAATTTCAACTTGCCCATGTATCAAAGCAGCAAAGAAGGGCAGTATCTTGTTCTGTGTTGAGTCCTTCCCAATTGTTAGCTCATTTATTGTATAAATGGTAGCCACAAACTTCTTGTGGCTACTTAAATTTACATTCATTGAAGGAATGAAAGAAAAAAAAAACATTTTGTTTCTCAGTCACCTGGCTAGGGACTACTTATTGGCCAGCACAACTTTGGAACATTCCCTTCACTACAGAAAGTCCCAGTCACAGTGTGGCTTATTGCCCTACTTGGCAGGTGAGAAACCTGCCAATGGAGAGGTAAGGAAAGCTGTCCAAATTCACCCAGTCTGTTAGGCCAAAACTGGGACTTCATTCAGCATCCTTCCCACTCCAAAACTGAGTTGCACCATGACAGCTACTACTTACCAAGGGAGAACTGGCCTTCACCTAGAATTTGCAGCCAGCCTCCCACCTCTTACCTCAGCACACCACACACACACCACACACACATATACACCACATATACCACTGCAACTATAATCTCTTAGTTGACTTATTAAGGGTTGGTGAAAAGGAAGAGTTTGAAACTAGTTCAATCAGGGGAGGCAGAGGGGCCCATCTGTTAGCTAAGGGCCACATCATATAGAAACCCAAGGAGAAAAATTAAGTACATCTGGTTTGGAACTTGTGGCAGATATTCTATGCCTTGTATCCTGCATGCCCCCATGCCTGATCACTCTCTACGCCTGAAACCCCAGTAGGGAGAGAGGTTCAGAAGCCAAACATCCTGGGAAGGGCCTCTCAAGCCTTGTGAGTGTGGAGAAGGGAAAGGGAAGGAAAGAGATGAAGGTAAGGAGGCCACAGCTGCCATGTCAGAAACATAAATCACTTCTTCTTATGGTATAAACCTGATAATTAGCCTCATTTTCAGAGGGGAATAAAGGAATAAAGGGAATAAAATAATGGAAATAAATATCCATTTCTCTCCACCTCTGAGGAGAGAAACCAGTGAGGTGGCAGTTGGGGCAGGAGGCCTCATACGGAAAATGAGAACAAGTAACATCTGAAAAACCACTTTGCAAAATCCTTACCACTCATCTATCATTGGATATTTTCTGAGAGAATCCTACCACAACTGCTTTCAATTTATACACAGGCAAGTTCAGAAAAGGACTCAGCACAATGCAGAGAGCAAACACCAGCCCACACACCTCTCCTCTCCAGCCTTCCTTCTCCTGAGCACTGCTAAAGGAGCACGAGCAATGAGAATGCCTGGACCCCAGCCATCCCTCAATGCCCTTCTCTTGGTTTCAGCTTCTCCCAAGCTGCCCCCCCCACACACACACACACAACTTGGCTTCAGCCCCTCACCTTCAGAGTCTGGCCAGGAGACCACCCTGCAGAAGATGAATCCTAGCACAGAATTACAGTAAGTGTGTGAAGGGCCTTATATAGCAGGTGACTGAACAATCAGAAAGCACAGATGCTTGCAGGGAGGGGCTTCTGGGTCAGACTGGCCTCTACCAGGCCATAGGGCCACAGGTGGCTTAACCCTTTGGGAGCTGTGCAGTTGCTCAATTCTCTTAGGCCTCCAGAAATTGGATGTAACTTTGATTAAAGCCTTACTTTGGCATAACATGCAAGAGAGCAAGGTGTGTCCCTGACATTATCTCATGTTGGCCCACTGAATGTATTTCAGTATCTGTTAATAAGTCACAGGCATCACTTTATACCAGCCTGATAAGGCCATTTACAAATGAAGAAACCAAGGCACAAAAGAGAAATGTAAGAGACTTGCCCAAGGTCACACAGCTCATGCAGAGTCAGAACTCATAGTCAGGCCACATGCAGCTCAGGAAATGGGGGTCAGGTCTTCTGGGGTCACTGTCTTAACCCCTCTAAGTCCAACAAAGATGAGGGTAAACTCACAGTACAGCCTCACAGGGTAAAGGGGCCATGATCCCTTGCAGCATACTCTACACACCAAAGTGAGGGGTCCAACCATAACCAATGCTGCAGCCACCTCCAACACTCTAGGCACTTCAACCAGCCTAGCTGCCTGGGAAGCCACTGTTGGTGAGAGCCTAGGTCAGCCCATCCCAGCACCTTCACACTGAGCCATGCGTGCCCTTGGCATTGAGTGTAAACTGGAGTTTTCTGCACTTTTCATCTGTCTGCTGTCCCTGCCACCTCAGACACACACTCACACACACTAATGCACACCCTATCATTCATGCACACTCAAATCACACACATCATAAACCACACAAACACACACACACACACACACACACACACACACCACACCACACCACACAGACAAGATTGATGGGGGAAGACCAAGAATACAGGAGTTGGGGTGCACAACAACCAACACCTCCTGCCTGCAGTTAGACTTGGAGTTCCCTGCTCTTGAAAATAACCCTTATCCATTTGCAGCCACTCTGCGCTAGTCTGCGACTCATCTCTCCCTCCCTTTCCCAATCTCATTCATTCATTCAACAAATATTTGTTGGTTTTTTTTGGTGGGGGGGGGTTGTTTTTTGTTTTGTTTTGTTTCGCACCATGCATTGGGTCTGCTCCAGGCATTTGGGCGGTATCTGAGCAAAAAGACAGAGACTGCTCTCCTGGAGTGTAGTCTAGAGTGGGAGACAGAAAATATAAATAAAGTGATAAATAAGCAAATTACAGGGTAAGACTAGAATGTGGTGATTGCTCTAGCAAAAAGACAGGGAAGAGCCAAGGCGAGGGACCAACCATGCTGGGGGAAACAGGCTTCAATTTTAAATAGTAGGCCTGCATTGGTCTCATGGAGAAGGTGAAATTTGGGTCATTTTTATAAGCAGAGCTTTTGGCCATCTCTCGTTTTCTCCTTTTCTCCCCTTCTGTCCTCAGGCTGGCTACAACAGCATTCTCCTAAACAAAGGCAATTCCCTCCCTAACAGAATTTTGTTATGTCTTCACACCAGCTACCGCGGACAGCTCAGTGGGAGAGGTGGTAGCAGGAGCCGCCAACAGGAGGTGGATGAGAGAAAGGTCCTGTGCACTGGGCTTTCCCCAGCCAAAGATGGAGGACTTGAAAAACACAGTAACAGCCATAGGGGCCACTCTGGTAACACACTGAGAAGTGAGAGGAGAATCAGGCTAATCTACATTAATCCTTCGCAGAAGGTACCAGGTACCCAGGCAAATGGGCCAAAGGCTTCCTGATTCCAGTTTTTGCCCCTGATAAATAAGTTATTTATTAACCTGACCCACTGGGCCTGAGCTCCCCATCTGTAAAATGGGAACATCAGACCCTGAAGAAATGGTTGCTGGTTATTTATTTCCTCCTGGAATCCTCACCCCATCCCACTGTGTTTTTTCTAATGTCATGTAACAACAATGGCATGGGATGTGAGGGTTGATCGATCATGTGTGATGTGGTTGCCTCTCCTGAGCTAGGCTGCACACAGCCACTCACAGCAGTCCTGGATTTGCCCATCCTGAGGTCTAGATAGTGTGCAGATGGGTATCATAAACCCCCCTTGACAGATGAGGAGGCTGAGCCCCAGAGAGGCCTCTCCTCTAGGCCTTAAGACACCTGGACCAACATTCTTTCCACTCCAGCACAACTCATGTGGGGCCAGTCTCTGCTCACATGGTTGGGAATATTGACCCACTTTCCTCCTCCCTGTTCCTCTCTGTAGTCAGCATGGGACTATCAGAGCCAGAAGGCTGGGATCAATCATAAGGCATTATAAAAAAAACTACCCCCTAAAGCAGACCCTCTTTCTGACTAGCCAAGAAGTCCAGAAAACCAAGAGAAGCAGGGTCTCAACTCATTGTCTAAATTTTGCTCTTAAACTAAGGATACTTAGCACATTTCAGGGACTGTGTCTATATTAGCCCCTTATAAGACAAGGTTGCCTTCCCCATGACCATTCAGCAGGGGTAAGCTAAAACTCACCCAGATATTGCATAGTCTTTCTGGGGTGTGAACCTGAAATCCATGTGGGAAATGGGCTTCTCCTGAGTTTCCCTAAACCATCAGCAAAGCTTGGAGGTGAGCTCTTGGAGGAGTCCACTCCATTTTGGAATAAATACATGGAGGTGAACAGGGTTGGGGCAGGACAGCCAGAGCAGAAACTCCAAGAGGGGTGCAAGCCAGAAAC